CCCCTCAAACACCCCAGTCTGACCGGTCTGCCTCCCAGCCTCCACTTTACTCTGCTGAGCTCCAAGCCTCTGGGGCTCAGGCCCAACCCCTCGTGCTCCACCCTGCTGGGTCAGCGTGTTTGGGCTGGGCCACCTCCTTGGCCCCCTGGAATGGGGCGTGTAGCCCCCAGCTCACCTCTCTGGTGTGCCGGGAGCTGGCAGAACAGGGTCTGAGTGGCATGGGACCTCCCTTTTGAGAGGGAAAGTGGACTGGGGTATTAAGTGCCTGGATCCCAGATGGGGAGTTGGGGATGCCTGACCAATCCTAAATCTGGGGATGGGAGAACAGAGGGTACATGGTGAATTCATGCCCCCAACAGGGCCTGGCAGTTGGGAGGTACTTGAATAAGTGGATGGATGGATGCATGAGGGGATGGTTGCATAGGTGGGTAGATGGCCAGCATGGGGGATCCAGGCATTACGGGGAATGAATTCCAGGAACTCAGGAAAGAAAAGGTATGTTTATCCAGTGCTTCCTTGGGGTCAGGTGCTACCTCTTATGTCACATAATTCTTAAGAGCAACCCCAGGATCCCCACTATCCACATGAAGAAACAGAGAGGAGGAGGGTTTTTAGAAACTTGCCCACTGTCACCAGCTAGTAAGTGGCAGGACTGCTGTTGGAGCCTGGGTCGGACCCCAAAGCCACTTTCTCTCCCCTCTCCTCCTGGAATGCCTGTGTCCCAAGAGAAGAGGAGGAAGCAAACATCTCTGCGATGCCCTTTCTCTCCAGGACAGAGGCAGGGACAGCTCTCCCAATCTGGGCAAAGAGCCATCCCCCGCCAACCCCCCCTCCCAGATCCAGGAGGGAGTGTAGACGGGGCAGCCAGGCTCCTGGGGGCTCATCAAAACACGGTGAGGGAGCAGGGCTGGCCCTTGTCCCTGGCATCAGAACCTCCCCACCTCTCCCAGATGTCCTGTTTCTTCATCTGATCCTCATTTTGAAGCTGTTTCATTTGACCTTCAAAAAGGAAGACCAGCCTCTACAGCTGTCCTTGCCCCAGGACCTAAGAGTCCTGCAGGGCCAGAGTCCCCAGGTGTGCATGTCGTGCTCTGCACAACTCCAGGGGGCGCCACTCACATTTGAAGTCACTGTTGACACTTGAAGTCATGACAGTTTTCGAGAAGATGGCAATAAGTCTTGAAAATTTTATTCTGACTCATACAAAGTTGCTTTGGGGGCTTGTGGTGAAGGCTGATCCGTCCAGTCAACCCCAAACTTCCCACTCCTGACCCTGCTCAGAGATCCCAGCACAGCGCCAGGCAGACCTTCTCTCAGGGGTTCTCAAAGGGAGGGCTTGGGTTGCCAGAGTCCTGGTCCCTTGAAGCGTTAATGTTAGAATGTGCCAGTGGAAAGTGCAGTCAGAAACTCTCCAGTGCTAGTCAAACAGGAGATAATCATCTGTCAGCCGACAAATGTTTACTGTTGTATTATTCCTTTATTTCTGGCAAGAAGGAACAACTTACTTGGCATCTTTACTGCGTGTTCGCCAAGCAAGGCCAGTGTTCCTATTCCTGTGAATCTGCCCCTCTTTGGTCTCTGTGTGTCTGTGTACCGGTGGCTGGGGGGAGAGTTCTGTGGTGGCCCAGTCTCCACCCAGGTGTCTCGGTTTGAAATAGCTTGAAAACTGCTTTGACGCTGCAGCTGGCTGGCCTCGCTCTGCTCTCAAACTTGTTTCCTCCCCCCAACCCCAGGAGTCCCAGGTCTCCGTCCCCCACCCCATCCTGTCCTGCTCTCTCAGGCCTGGTCACCCTCTTCGTTACTCCACCTGTCAGCGCCTTCTGCACCCAGAGCTTGGATGGGAAATGGAAAATTCCCAGTGCCCTCGTGCTCCCTTCCTGGCTGCAGGGCCTCATCCAGGGGTCACCTTGGATTGAGCGCTAATTCCCCCCACAGGAAAGCAAGTTGGAACTGACAACCAGGAGAGAGGGCTGGACAAGGGAGCGCAAGGGTGAGGGAGGCGGCATGTTGGGGCCACCTTCCCTGAGAGGGGCAAAACTGGGGGCTGGAGGTCAGGACTGGTGATCCTGCGGTACTGGGAGGCATAGGTGGAGGGCTGGCCCCGGGGCCGAGGCAGCTGAGGCAGAAGCTGGACAGGTGTGGGTGGTGAGCCGCAGGGTGAGGCAGGAACCTGGGGCCTGAGTGGTGGGGAGAGGGAGCTTTGGAGGAAAGGACAGGGTGCAAAGGACGGTGCAGGTTCTGGGACCCAAAGCCTGGGCTTGGGGACTCTTGAGCCAGGCCTGAGTCGACCTCTGGTGGCCACTTAATAAACTGCAGCCAGACCTGCTCTCCCCTCCCTGTCTTCCGTTCCCAGGACTCTTCAGAGCGCCTGCACTTATTCCCAGTATCCCACCTCCAGCCTCACCTTCTCACCTCTCCTTATGCCCTCACTCCCTCCAGGATCCCAAACACCAGACTCGGGTCCCAGGTCCATAGGCTGTACTCGTGTTTCAGGCTCTGTTTCTGTTGCCGTGGTAACTTGCCCATTCCTCCTCACCCTCACTGTGGGAGGAGGGGAACTCTCTGGCTAGGCCCCAGGGGTCATCCCTGCTGTGGGCTTTGTTTCAGGGAGCTGTTCATTATCCAAGGAAGACCACAAGCATATCAGAAACACCCCCCACCGTATCGCCTTCACTCCCTTTCTCACCTCCCGGCTGAGAGCAGCTGAGGCCTTGAGGGAGGCCAGTGTTCGCCCAGAGGGGGCAGGATGGGGTCAGAGGTGGGAAGAGGCCTCCTGGGGCCAGGCTGTCCCTCACCCTTCACACCCTTCCCTGCCCCAGGCCTCTGGCCCCGCAGCCCCTCCCCCGACTCGGCCCCCCAGCTGACTGTCCTCAGCCGGCCCCCCTCCCCTCCGCTCTGGGATTGGTGCCAGGGTGAGAAGGGGACACTGGCACTGACCGTGTCTGGGAATTCCCGCCCACCATGGAGCCGGCGGGAGGGGGTCCCCGTGTCCCTGAGGAGCCAATAGCAACCAGGCTTTGCCCTGGGGAGTGGTATATAGCTTTCAGGCCAGCACCCCCTAGGCGCTGTCTCCTTTCTGCCTGCCTGGCACCAGCCAGACTCTGCTCTGCCCGGGGGGGCTTTGAGCCCCCCAGGCAGTCCTTATGATACAGCGCTCTCCCTTTGGGGAGGCCCAAGGATCCTTTCCCCTTGGGGATGGCCCAGCCAGGGGTCTCAGTCAAGTCCCTGGTGTCCTCGTATGAGACCCGAGTGGTGGGGATGGCTCCGGGGCCTCCCCGGAAGAGGGGCTGTGTCTCCTCTCCTTGTTCCCCTCGGGGAGCATCCCCCATCCGAGGGGCATCTGGACCCCCACCGCACCGGGGCCTGGGGGGGCCCGGGCAGCGGCCCTCACCCCGTCGGGGGATGGACAAAACTCTCCTCTCCCTGATTCTCTACTGTCACAGGTACAGGCAGGGGTGTGGGTGGGAGGCTGCAGCAAATGGGGCTTGTGGAGGAGGCCAGAGGCTGCTCTGAGAAGCACCTGGAAGGCAGCAGGCTGGGGTGTCCAGACACCTGGCTTGGCACCTGTTCCTCCTCCTTACCTCTCGTCTCCCTGTGTCTCTCCAGTGGCTCCGGAAGCCTGGTTGGCATTGACAACAAGATCGAACAAGCCATGGTAAGAGAAGCCATCTTGGTCCCAGCAGGTCCCGGCTCGTGTGCTGATGCCCAGGCCCCTGCCTCTGTTGGCCGGCCCAGTACTCCATCCCTGCTGTCCTCATTATTAGGGAATACTGGCTTCTGCTCCTCGGCCTGCTCCCAGCTGGGTTCCCTGGGGTCCTTCGCCCCCTCCTGAACCCTTGACATACCTTGCTTCCTAGCCTGCTCCTGGCCCCCGTCTCTGTCTTTGAGCCCTGACCTTGCCTCTGTCCGGCATCCGTGCCCATCCCGATACCCCACCGCCTGCGCCTTCCCTGTTTGACTTCTTCCCCGGTGGTCCCCCATCATCTGGGAGCAGGACGCTCTCCCACACCTGGCTCCTCAAGGCACTGGGCAGGGGATGAGGTTGGGGTGGCCTGGGACCCCTGACGCTTTGCCTGTCCCTGGACCCCCAGGACTTGGTGAAGTCCCACCTCATGTTTGCGGTCCGGGAGGAGGTGGAGGTGCTGAAGGAGCAAATTCGGGACCTGGCCGAGCGGAATGCCGCGCTGGAGCAGGAGAATGGACTGCTGCGTGCCTTGGCCAGCCCTGAGCAGCTGGCCCAGCTGCCTTCCTCGGGGGTCCCGCGGCTGGGGCCCCCAGCGCCCAATGGGCCCTCAGTCTGAGCCTCCCTTCCTTCACAATGTGCCTTTGGGGGCCGCCACAGCTGCTAGGCCTTGAGCCAGCTGCCTGCCCCCTCTTCCTATGCAGCTTTAATGCCCCCTGATCCCCGGGGATGGGAGTTGAAGGCTCAGAAGTGGCCTGTCCCCCGCCCTTCCTTGATCTCCCCATAGTGCCCAGGGACTGGGCTGGGGCATCCCTAGACCTTGATGGAGGAGGGAGGGCATCAGGACAGGGTGTTAGATGGAGCCCCCCTCCTCCCTCCCTAGGGGTCAGTGTTCTGGGACCGCCCCGGCAATAGATGGCTTGGGGGTGTTGGAGGCTGCCTGGCAGACATCCCCACCTTGTTCCCTGGAGTGCCCCCCTCTCCTCTGCCCAGGGGAGGGAGTACGGATAGTATCTGGAAGTTCTGGGATTCAGGTTGTTATTAAAATAATAATTATAATTAAAAAATCCGAAGAAACTTGAATCTGGAGGTTGGCATCTCGTTGCTTGTGTCCAGATGCGGGACCTGCACCAACAGTTTCCACCTGTGGGAGAGCAACTTGAGGCTGTGGGCTCCCCTGGAGATCTTGTCCAGACTGCGGAGGTTTAATGTGGCTCAGAGTGGAGATGCGGAAGGAAAAGGGAGCCAGCGGCCTGGGTCCTGGGAAGGGGCAGGCGAGGCGAGGTGCGGGGGGGCGGGTGGGGGGCGTCGGCCCACGTGCTGGTGGGGGACAGGAGAACAATGGAGCCTTTGGTGATTGTACAGGATCCACCCCCGGCTTCCCAGCGTGTCCCCTCTGCGGGCTGGATCTGGGTGGCTGCTTGGGGGTGGGGCGGGGGGCCCTGAATGGGCCCCTTGTCTCAACCCTGGGTGTGGGCCAGGCTCCCCGGGCACACGGTGCCCTCGCCAGGCCTGGCTGGCCTCCGTGGCCTCCACCCCCAGCTGGCTGAGGATGGGGCCCTGTGGGTGAGCAGGCCCCTCCCCGACAGCCTCGGCTCCGGCCCAGGCGGAAGAGGCAGGTAGGGAGACGGACCCCATCTAGTGGGGAAGCGGGGAAAGCGGCAGCCTCCACTTGAGGAGAACCCCGGCCCCACTAGGGGGGACCTGCTGAGAGTGGGATCCTGGAGGCAGACCTGGTTTGTACTCCCCGCCCTGTGGCTCCCTAGGTTTATGACTTGGGCAGCTTCTTTGGTTTTTCTGAATCGCAGCTTCCTCCTGGGTAAAATGGTGCTGACAATAATACCTCCCTGAAGGGCAACTGGGAGGGCTACGTGACATCAGACATGGGAAATGCCCAAGGAGTACCAGGTGCTCAGTAAATGTTAGTTTTCCTTCCTTGGATTCCGGGGAAGGAGGGCCAAGGGTGCAGGGATTGGCTCCGGGGATCCTGGAAGGGTCTCGGGGGTTGGGGTCAGGGCCAGGCAGGCTCTCACAATGGGCTAGAACTCTCCCTCCCTCTGGGTTCTCATCAACTTTGACTCCTCTCCCTGTCCCAGGGAGGGGAGGAAGGGCCTAGGATGAGTCACCGGGGGGAGTTTTCCTCCTGGATTCTCTATTTCTTTCTTCACTGCTGTGCTAGAGGCTCCCCAGAGACCCCTTAGGTGGCGGCCACTGGCCTGCAGCCTGTCCTCCCCACTGAACTGAATGCTGGTTCTGCCCCCTGCTTGGGGCTTGTGTATCGGAAGAAATGGCCGTGGTCCTGAAGTTCTTCCGATGGATTTGGCGCAAGATTAGTCACTCGGTGAGTTTCAGAGATCGCCCCTTCCTCTTGCCCTGCTGGGGTGGGAAGTGCTGGTCAATGACCTCTAGGTCACAGAAACCTGCACTTCCTCACCTGGCCTCCCTCCTCTCCTGGCCACCTGTGGCCAAACAAGATGGAGAGGGAGGTGGTGAGGGACAGGACAGCTGGGGAGGAGGCCCCTTCTCCTCTGGGCCTTCCGTTCTGACTGTTGTCTCTTGCTCTGCCCCTCACTTCTGTCTGTCCTCTCCCTGTCTCGGTTCTTAGGTCTTCTGGAAACACAAAGCTAAGTCAACCATCGCAGAATGCACTGACTCCAAGAAAAATGAGTTGAAGGAGAAGGAGTTGGAGTTGAAGGAGTTGAAGGAGAAGGAGAAGGAGTTGAAGGAGAATGAGTTGAAGGAGAAGACTTCCAAGGTGTCTGAGACTTTCAAGTTGGTTGAGTCCCCCAAGGAGGCTAAGGTCTCCAAGATGGATGTGTCCTCCAAGGCGGCTGACCCCTGCGTGTTGGCCAAGACCACCACGGACGGGGCTGCGGTGGAGGCGGGCCATGGGCCGAGATCGCTGTTGCAGCTGCCCCGGACTGCCGTCAAATCTGTCTCCACGCTCATGGTCTCCGCCCTGCAGTCTGGCTGGCAGATGTGCAGCTGGAAGGTCAGCACGTTGTCCCCCTTGTCCCCAGCAGCACCCCCCTCCTATCCCCCATGACTCATTCACGCTGGTGGGAATGTAAAATGGTGTGGCCACTCTGGAAAAACAGTGTGGTCAGTTCTTCTAAAACTAAACATGCAGTTATCATATGGCCTAGTGATTGTACTCCTGGACATTTATCCCAGATAAATGAAATTTTATGTTCACACAAAAGTCTGTACGTGAACATTCATAGCAGCTTTATTCATAAGAGCCCAAACCAACCCAAATGTCCTTCAACGGGTGAGTGGTTAAACTGTGATATATCATGGAATGATACTGCTCAGCCATAAAAAGGAACAAACTATTGATATATGCAACAACTTGGATGGATCTCAAGGGAATCATGCTGCGTGAAAACAACCAATCCCAAAAGATTATATATCGTATGATTCCATTTGTACTATATACCATTGCAGAAATAACCAAATTAGAGAAGTGGGGATCCAGTTAGTGGTTTAGTGGTTGCCAGGGGCTGCGCATGGAGGGAGAGACGGGGGAGATGGGTTGGTTATAAAAGGGCAACATGAGGGATCCTTGCGACAATGGAAATCTCCTGTATCTTGACTATGGTAGTTGAATTCATGAACCTGCACGTATCATGTAAAATTGGGAAGAATTCAACACACACACACACACACACACACACACACACACACACGAATACAAGTAAAACTGGAGAAATATGAATAAATTCAGATCAGTGGATTGTATTGATGTCAGTATTCTACGATACTACTAGAGTTTTGAAAGATTTTACTATAGGGGGAAAATAGGTAAAGAGTATAAGTATTATTTCTCACAAGTGCATGTGAACCTACAATTATCTCAGTCAAAATTTTAATTTAAAAAGGGAAGTGTCTAGGTTACTACCAAGTCAATTTATTTTGGTTTTGAATTAGGTATTACTGCATTAATAATAATTTTTGAAAGTTCACCTGGGGAATTCCTTGGCAGTTCAGTGGTTAAGACTTGGCGCTCTCACTGCCGAGGCCCAGGTTCACTCCCTGGTCGGGGAACTGAGATCCCACAAGCCGCGCGGTGTGGTCAAAAATAAAATAAAATAAAATAAAATATTCTGGGCCGGGAGAGAGGCATCAGGTAGAACAAGTTAATGGATTGGAGTGATATTTAAGAGGTAGAATTGTTGTCCCACGTGGTTGATTGCATGACGGTGAGGAGCGAGGGAGAGACAGACATGAAAACAGGCTGGAGCCATTCACTGGAAGGAGAGCCGACTTAGGGGAGAAAGTAACGACTTTAGGGCGTTGGGACAGGATGAGTTGAAGTGTCAGAGGGACATCTGCAGGGAGATGCCTAGGAGGCAGTGGGATATACAGGCCTGGAGGTCAGGCGAGAGCTTTGGGTTGGAGACAGAGTTGGGGGTGTCATTCTGGCCTTCATTTTAATGCACTCTCCATGGAACCCTAGTGGGGACTCAAAGGTGGGTCGGACATGGTCCCTGTCTTCCAGGAGCTTGCATGGTGGTATTGAAAACAGATGAGTCCGCAGAACAAATAGTGCATAAAATGTGGTATGACAGGGTGAACACCAGAGTAGAGACAGGCCGAGAAGGCTTCCTGGAGGAGGCGTTGCCCAAGCTGAGGCTTGACAGGGCAGGTGGAATTAGACAAGCCTTTGCCGTTTATCTGCAGGTGGTTCCACCAGTGGTTTCCCCCTAGACCAAGCTGTTCATCTGTGCTCATCTTCTCTCTTTCACAGTCATCTGTGAGTTCTACCTCAGTCACCTCCCAAATGAAGACCGGGTCCCCTTTGGAGTCGAGAGGGACTGAGATGCTGCAGGAAGTGTACCTGGTGCTGTGGGCCGTTCGGAAACGACTGCAGCGGCTGGCCCGCAGGCAGGAGAGGCAGCGACGGCGCCACATCCGGGCCCACATCTGTCCCCAACCTGACCCAGTTCAGGGCTTGAGACAGGATTCCCAGAGTCCCCTCTAGGGGGGAACCCCACATCCTCAGAAAGCCCCCACCTCACTCTTAGGTAAGGTTGATAGGAGAGGTTAGGGCAGCAGGCCAGGAGTTGTGGGTGAGGAGAAGTTTTCAAACCGTCACCTCTCATCGGGACCCCAAGGCCTGGCCTGGGGGCCCACGTACTCTCCTTCATTCCTTTTATTCAATTTGTAAAAAATTATCAAAATGTTGGGAAATAAATATCGGAAATTTCTGAGTAGAGGTAGAGTGTGTTTGTGGATGGCCCGAGGCACTGAGGGGAACTTGGGTGGGATAGGGAGGGGCACCTGGGGCGCTGGCCCAAATATGTGTGGGAGTAACGGGGGTCGGGGTGGCGGGCAGCCCCACACACACTTTTAGGGGCTGAATTGCCTTTGGCAACTGTGCCGGGCCAGTAACGATAGTCTCAGAGGCACCGGTTCATTGAGGACATGCTGGGTACCAGGTGCTGAGCCTGGGTTCTCGCTGGAAATCCTACAAGACAGACTATTGCTGATGTTACGGGACTTGTCCAGGGCCCTACGGAGAACGAGACCTCGCTGGAAATTCCGCCTCCTCAGCTGGTCCACTGCCCTGCCTCTCTGCCGCTCTTGGGCCCGGCCATGGCGAGGGTCAGGGTCCCTCACTTGGCGGACGCGCACACGCATCAGGCTCTGTGGGCCCCGCCCCTGCCGAGGGCGGCCGAAAACTACAGCTCCCAGGGTTCCCGGCGGTGAGGCTGGGCCGCCGGGCGCAGAGGGCCCGGGCCGGGGGCCAGCAGTGTCGCGGTCGGAGAGCGCGGGAGGGTGTCTGCCTGGCGCCGCGGGAGCTGAGGCTGGAGACCGTGGCGATGTGGTGCGAGATTGGGGGGCGGGGGCAACACGAGGGGAGACCGTGGAGCCTCAAGTCCCCTCTCCGCCTTAGCCTGCCGTCTTGCCGGGCCACGCGAGGGCGCAGAGGTGGCTCCCCAAGGAAAAGCAGGGATATTTCACGAGACGATAAAATTCGGGGACGTCAGAATTCACAGGGCTTGGAGGTGGGGGAAGGTGCAAGGGCTGGCAGCCGCGCCCGAGCCTAGGGGGCAGCAGAGGCCCTGGGAGCGGGGGAGGGACGGCTGTGCTACTGGGTCTTGCTCACCGAGAAATTAGGTGTGAGCAGGAGGCGTGAGCAAAGCTGGGAGCCGGTGAGCAGCAGGGATGGTTTGCCGGAAGCGCCCAGTTCACTAGAAAAGTCAGCAAACTCTCCTCCTGGCCCCCAACCCCACCCCCCGCAGCTCTGGCAAAGTTGGACACCATTGCTGGGAATTTGAGTGGCCTTTCCCAGAAGTCCGGAGCAGCCCCCGGCTGCCGTGCCCGATGCCCTACAGCTCTGCTACCCTGAGCCTGTTAGCTGTGCACCGCACCCCAACATTTACAGCCCTCGTCATACCACCCACCACTTATTAAACACCTACTGTGACTATTTTTATGTCTTGTTCTAAGTACTGTAATTCTCACAGTGGCTTTATGATGAAGTATTATCACTTCCATGTTTTAGAGAGGAAAACTGAGGGACAGAAAGGTCATGTTTAAGGTCGTGCAGCTTTCATTCATCCAACGAATGTCTAGCTCACACAGGACATGTTACATACATGTTACACAGCAGGTGTTCAATACATGAATGTGGTGGCTTCTCCAGGAATCAGTTCTGAGCTTAGCCTGAAGCCAGTCAGGCCCTCAAAACATTCTAATACACAGTGGCTCAATTCTGGGGCTTTCAATCACCAATTATTCACCACATCTCCATTGTGTGCCAGGAACTGTTCTGGGGCCGAACAGGCCATGGTGGGTCTGTCCCAGGAAGCCTGGAGGACTAATGGGTCCCAGGGTTTTGGAGTAGTGCCTCCCTGTCTAAGGTCCAGAACCAGCCCCTCCAAATCCTTAGAGATATGCTCCTCTTCCTACTGGGGACCTAATAGGAAATTTCAGTGAGAGGAGGGTAGGAAGGCTGGGCGCCCCTGAGGGTCACTAGTAAATAGCCTTGCAAGTAGCTACAGGCCCAGGAGCCAATGGGCTTGAGGCTGTGGGCTTGTGGGAAGGAATACACCTCCCATTTTTCTCTGGCTTCTTCAGCGTCGTTAGGAGGCAAGGAGAGGAAAGGAAGGTGAGTTCAGCCAGCAGCCACGGGAGCTGCTGGCACCTCCCACCGTCTCTCCCTCCCCAGACATGATGGAGTCCTGTCTGGGCTTGGCCAAGCGGGGGCAGGAAACTCATAAACTCATGGGAGAGAAAGGGATGGGACGGAGGGAGAAAGTCCATAGAACTTGCTTTTCCTAGATGTCCCAGTGCACCCAGGCAGCCTCCTTCCTCCCCATCCCAAGTAATCTAGTCCAGAGCCCTGGAGAAGGCCCGTGTTGGGACGTGAGGACGATATTCCCAACTGGGGGGAATATAGGATTATATAGGAATATAGAATTATAGGATTATATAGGAATATAGAATTATAGGATTATTATAGCATATAGGATCTCCTGGGGTGGAGATTTGTGTGGGGGGTGGGGATTCTTACCCACCCAGCCCTTTCCTGGTAGAGAGCAGTGGGGGGACAGTGTGACCCCTGGGGAAATCTTCCTCCTGATGAGTCTTTTTTTTTTTTTGGCGGCGCTGGGTCTTCGTTGCTGCACGTGGGCTTTCTCTAGTTGCAGAGAGGGGAGACCACTCTTAGTCGCAGTGCGCGGGCTTCTCATTGTGGTGGCTTTTCTTGTTACGGAGCATGGGCTCTAGGCACAAGGGTTTCAGTAGTTGTGGCATGCGGGCTCAGTAGTTGTGCCACATGGGTTGCTCCACAGCATGTGGGAAATTCCTGGACCAGGGCTCGAACCTGTGTCCTCTGCAGTGGCAGACGGATTCTTAACCACTGTGCCACCAGGGAAGTCCCCTGATGAGAGTTTTAAGCAGAAATCCCACCTTGGCCAAAAAAAAAGAAAAAGAAAAAAAAGGGACTTCCCTGGTGGTCCAGTGGTTAAGAATCCGAGTTTCCATTGCTGGGGGTGCAGAACTGCTGGTTGGGAAACTAAGATCCCGCATGCCACGTGGCACAGCCAAAAGAAAAAAAAATCTCGCCTTGGCAGCTCGGTGCCTTATGTCCACCTAGGGGGTGGGATAGGGAGGGTGGGAGGGTGATGCAAGAGGGAGGAGATATGGGGATATATGTATATGTATAGCTGATTCACTTTGTTATACAGCAGAAACTAACACACCATTGTAAAGCAATTATACTCCAATAAAGATGTTAATTAAAAAAAAAAAAGCTCGCCTTGGACACCTTGCCCTCCTGTCCCCATCAGACCCCAAGCACTTCCCCTCCCCCAAGGCTGCTGGACTCCATGAGGCAGAGGTGGTAGGGCTATAGGTGGGCCCAGCTGGAACCAGGGGTCTTGATTTTCAAATCCCACCCATCCTAATGGGGCGGGGGCCCCTGGAAGTGTGGGGAGCAAAGGAGAGTGCTGGTCCCGGATGCCCCTGCTCTATTCTCAGTCCTGCCTCATCTCCCCTCCACCCCTTCATCATCAGATTTCCTGAAAATGTCAGATGTCTTCTTTTTCCCTGGGATCCCTCTACAATCTATTCATCACACAGCAAAACATGTCACTGCCTTGCTTAAACCTTCCAATGGCTTTCCATCGCCCTTGGAACAAAACCCAAACTGTCCCCTTTGTTTAAAATGCCCTTCTCTCAGATCTTGTCATGGTGGGCTCCTTGCCCCTCTGGATTCTGTACAGACGTCGCTATGTCTTTGTGGACTCTTGCCCTGACCACCGGACCTACAGATTGGGAGAGAGCCACTGTCAAGGTCATCCTCTATCTCTCACCATGTTTTATGTTTTCATAGTACTTAACAGTATCTGAAATTATCATATTGATTTGTTTACCAGTATACTTGGGTGGCAGCAGTGGAATGCAGTAGTTAAGAGCATGGGAAGTGGTTTAAGCGAACACTTCCTTGATGTGTAATCTTGGGTAAATTGGTTAACCTCCCTGAGCCTCGGTTTCCTCGTTTGTGAAGTGGGGCATGGTAGTCGTATTGGTGTCATAGGTCTGTCATGAGGGTCAGGGAGGTGATGACTGGCACACCATAAGGGCTCAGTAAATGTTATGTGCTATTATGATGCTAATGGTTATGATCTATTGTTTATGATTATTATCTCCGTGGCCTAAAACAGTGCTGAATGAACCAGAAAGTAAACCTTCACCTAGTGTGTGGGAAGCACTTTCCAAACAGCTCTCTGGTGGAGGGAACGCCAGTTTTGGAAGTGACAAAGAATGGCATGTGCCGTGAGTAACAGGAAGAGTACTTGAGAGAGAGTCAGGAGATCCTGGTCCTGGTCTCAGTACTGCTGCCACTTTGCTGTGGGACTCTGGTGAATCCCTCTCCTTCTTTGGACCTCAAGCTCTTCAGATAAAATGATGGGTTGAAACGGCTGGTTGATCTGTCCCCAGCCAGCTTCCAGGGGGTTCCAGTCGGGCCCTGTGCTCCCTTTATCCACTGCATGCTTTTCAGTGTTGGGGACACATGGTGCCTTTAGCTCCCTCAGCTCTGCTTGCTGACAGTTCAAAGCTGCCACAGAGAGAGTTGAGCCAGGGTAAAATATTCTTGGTTTAAGCCTTTGAACCCAGAGACAAAGTCCCAGCCCTGGACACTGGATCATCTTTCTACCCCTGTCCTTCCCTCCTCTTCAGCGTCATCCACGTTCGTATTTGAGCCCTGGGGGAGGAGAGCGAGTCCTGAGCCCCACTGTGGGCTGGGCAAAGGCATGAAGGTCTTGGCCTCAGACACGCAGGCAGGGTGTGTGTACAGCTGGAAGTACACACATGGATGTGCCTGTGTGCACTTGTGGGTCTCTGTAATATTTTAACTTGTTCCTGTTTTCCTCTCAGGAGTGGCAGGACTGCAATTAATTAGAGGAAAAGGTTGTAGGATGGCAGGGATGGCATTCTCTACCCTCTACCTAAGGGAAGATGTCACCTGTCAAATGAGATATTAATCTCTAGGACTGTTGTAGGGCTAGCTTCCTTTGTCTACCCCCTCCCCCCCAAATAGGCACATGGTCCTCCAGGACTTGAGGGAGGAGGGGGATGAGAGGGGAGCACCTTTGGGATTCAGAGGGCTGGAGCTCTTCCAAGGGGCCAGGAGGGCTGCAGGCCTGGGAGCAGGTGTTTCTGGTGGTGGCCTCATGCTGAGTCCTTTGTCCCCTGGGTCATT